CAGAGCGGGGCGCGCAAAGACGAATTAACCTAAAGCGGTGGGCCGGAGCCTCACGCAGCACCTCAGCGGCCGAGCCGGCGAGTGGTAAAGGCTGGCGGTAAACTGGGGAGCGGTACTGCCAGGGTGCACGCATGCAACGCGTCGGGCGCAGCTGGCGGCCAGGGTGACCGGCGACCAGGGACTGCAGCATACGTGAGAATTAGTTGCAAGGGCGCAGGCCCCCAGACTGCAACGAAGGTACCAGGGTGGCCGCAGCCAAATGAACCGACTGTCGTAGGTCGAATTGGGTGCCCAGAGGGGGCGTGAGCATCAGCAAGCTGCAAAGTACCAGGGTGGCCGAGGCCAGGAGGTCCAATGGCAGCAGAACGCACGAGTGCGAAGGCAGCCAGAGCTGCAGCGCGGCCAAAATGGCGCGTGGGCACCACGAAAGTGGCCGTGGAAACAACTCGGGAACCCAAGCTGCGACCCGAGGCCTGGCGGGTGCAAGAGGTGGCGCCAGCGAAGTCGCGCACCAGAAGCCCTGAACAGGGAAACGCGTGCCCGCAGTCAGCACACCGGGGGCGGCGACAGACGCACACGGACACCGCGGGGGTAACTCCAATACTGAAACCAGGGTTGCAACCGCGGCGCGGCGGAGCCACGGAAATGCCTAGGCTGAACCACGGACGTCCATAGCCCCCACCAAGGGGGAGAAAAACCGCGACATGGGCGGAAAAGCAGAGAGGCCAGGGCTGGTGGGGGACGACACCACCGAACTGGCTGGGAGACCTGGAGCCCGGCCGAAGGGGGGGGCCACCCCGGCACGGCAGGGCGCCCGGGGGCGCGGGGGAGGGACGCGCCAAGAGCGAAAACAACTACAGCAGGCCGAAGGCCGTCGGGGGACTGGTGGACCACGGCCCCAGCGGTGAGACCACAAGCCAGCATTGTCAGCAGGCCGCTGCCCGCGTTCCCACGGGCGGGGAGCAGCGGGGGCCGGGCAGGGAGTGGCACCGGGGGAGGGGCACTGCCTGCACGTCCGGCGGCGGCCACAGCAGGGACTGCAGCCCTCGCGTCTAGGGCGAAACAAAGGGGGGCCGCCGACGATGGCCCCCGCCCCGGCCGCCGTCCATTCGCGACGTCGGAGGTCCATGCCAGGGGTGGCTTAACGGCCACTGCATGCCATCTGCGAACGAAAACGAGAAACCATTGGCCTAACGGGCCCTATTTAAAGCGAGAAGAGCGATAGTATCGAACCGCGTTCCTTCCTGGCCTCACGGGCCCTGTTTAAGCTGGAGAAGCAGAAGGCACAACCACGGCGAGCTCGGCGGGCCTGAAGGGACCTGCGCCACTCGGAGAGGACGGCTGAGGTCGGCTGCCCCCTGGGGTGCCAGGTGGGCGTCTGGTCTGATGCGTTGGGGCAGGTTCGGCTGGGCGGCCGTCGGCGGCGCCGAGACAGCGACCTATAGGCATTGCTGGGGGCTCCACCGCCGACGATGGCCCCCGCCCCAGCCACCATCCACTCGTGATGTCGGAAGTCCGTACCAGGGGTGGCGAACGGCCACTGACGTCGTCGTCAGAGGGGACCGCTTGGTCCGATGCATCGCCAGGGCCGGCTGCGCTGCCCGCCCTTTTCGCATGTGAGGCTGAGCCCTAGCGTCACCACCATGTCGCTGAGCAGCGCCAGGGAAGGCTGCCACGGCCAGCCCTTCTCGGACGCGAGCCTGACCTTCAACGTCGCCACCAACATCACGCTGGGCACCGCCGTGGCCAGCTGCCGCTGCCGGCCCTTCTCGCACGCGTGGTTGATCATGGCGGGCTGCAGCTTTTACACGAACATCTCGCTCAGCAGCGTCGCAGCCTGCTGCCACTGCCGAGGCCACCTCTTCTCGCAGGCGCTGTTCACAGTGCCGTAGGTGATGATGGCGGGCTCCAGCTTCACTCCCAACTTCTCGCTGAGCCGAGCCAGAGCTGTCCGCCACTGCCCCTTCTCGCAGGCGCTGATCACAATGCTGTAGCGGCTGATGTCGGGCCCCAGCTTCACGACTGCCGTCTCGCTCAGCGACGCCACAACCTGCTGCCATTACCAACGCCTGCTCTTCTCGCACGTGCTGTTCACGATCACGCTGAGCATCGCCATGGCCAGCTGCCGCTGCCGGCCCTTCTCGCACGCGTGGCTGATCATGGCGGGCTCCAGCTGCTACACAAACATCTCGCTCAGCAGCGTCGCAGCCTGCTGCCACTGCCGAGGCCACCTCTTCTCGCAGGCGCTGTTCACAGTGCCGTAGGTGATGATGGTGGGCTCCAGCTTCACTCCCAACTTCTCGCTGAGCCGAGCCAGAGCTGTCTGCCACTGCCCCTTCTCGCAGGCGCTGATCACAGTGCTGTAGCGGCTGATGTCGGGCTCAGCTTCACGACTGCCATCTCGCTCAGCAGCGCCACAACCCGCTGCCACTGCCAACGCCTGCTCGTTCCGCACGTGCTGTTCACGATGCCGTAGGTGATGATGTTTGGGACCAGCTTCACGACCCCGATTTCGCTCAGCAGCGCCACTGCTGGCTGCCATTGCCAACGCCTGCTCTTCTCGCAGGCGCTGTTCACAGTGCCCTAGGTGCTGTTGAGGTTGGGCTCCAGCGTCACCACCATGTCGCTGAGCAGCGCCAGGGAAGGCTGCCACGGCCAGCCCTTCTCGGACGCGGGCCTGACCTTCAACGTCGCCACCAACATCACGCTGGGCACCGCCGTGGCCAGCTGCCGCTGCCGGCCCTTCTCGCACGCGTGGTTGATCATGGTGGGCTCCAGCTTCTACACGAGCATCTCGCTCAGCAGCGTCGCAGCCTGCTGCCACTGCTGAGGCCACCTCTTCTCGCAGGCGCAGTTCACAGTGCCGTAGGTGATGATGGTGGGCTCCAGCTTCACTCCCAACTTCTCGCTGAGCCGAGCCAAAGCTGTCTGCCACTGCCCCTTCTCGCAGGCGCTGATCACAGTGCTGTAGCGGCTGATGTCGGGCTCCAGCTTCACGACTGCCATCTCGCTCAGCCGCGCCACAACCTGCTGCCGCTGCCAACGCCTGCTCTTCTCGCACGTGCTGTTCACGAGGCCGTGGGTGATGATGTTGAGCTCCAGCTTCACGACCACGATTTCGCTCAGCAGCGCCACTGCTGGCTGCCACTGCCAACGCCTGCTCTTCTCGCACGCGCTGTTCACAGTGCCGTAGGTGCTGATGACGTCGGGCTCAGATTCACCACCCACATTTCTCTGTGCAGCGCTAGGGCCGGCTGCCCCGCGTTGTGGCTCGTGATGTCGGGCTCCAGCGTCACCACCCACCTCTCGCTGGGCGGCGATGGGCCCCGCTGCCACTGCTCGCCCTTCTCGCGCGCTCTGATCGGAGTGCCAGAGCTCTTGGCGGCGGGCTCCAGCTTCACCACCCACATCTCGCTGAGCAGCGATAGGGCTGGCTGCCGCTGCCAGCACTTCTCGCACGCGCTGTCCTGGTCGCTGTAGATCATGACGATGTCGGGCTCCAGCCTCACCACCCACACCTCGCTGAGCACATGGGGCTGGCTGCCACCGCTCGCACTTCTCGCCCGCGCTCGTCGTGGCGCTGTAGCTCGTGATGTCGGGCTCCGGCTTCATCACCCCCGTCTCGCTGTGCAGCGACAGGGCTGGATGCCACTGTCCGCACTTCTCGCACAAGCTGCCAGGGGCGCGTTGGCTCATGATGACTGGCTCCGGCTTCAGCTACCACATCTCGCTGAGCAGCAATGGGGCCTGCTGCCATTGCTCGCACTTCCCGCGCGCGCTGATCGTGATCCTGTAGCTCATGGTGTCGGGCTCCAGCTTCACCACCCACATCTCGCCGTGCAGCGGTAGGGCCCGCGACCACTGCCCGCACTTCTCGCACGCTCTCATCGGGGTGCTGTAGCTCATGACGTCGGGCTCCGGATTCACTACCCACATCTCTCTGTACAGCGGTAGGGCCGGCTGCCCCGTGTTGTGGCTCATGATGTCGGGCTCCAGCGTCACCACCCACCTCTCGCTGAGCGGCGATAGGGCCCGCTGCCACTCCTCGCCCTTCTCGCACGCTGGTGCTGCTGAAGTGGGTCGCTGGTAGGTCGCGGTGCTGCTGGAATTGGTGGTGCTGCTGCTGGAGTCGCACTGCTGCTGCAGGAGTCGGTCGTGGTGCAGCTGGTGATGACGTTGATGCTGCTGGAGTCGCACTGGTGCTGCTGGAGTTGGTCGCTGGTTGGTCGTAGTGCTGCTGGAGTTGGTGGTGGTGATGTTGGTGTCGGTCAGGTACTGCTGGTACAAAGCTCAAAGAGGGACGCTCAAAGGATTATCCCCCCCCCTGGCGCCGCCCGCCCCCTCCCCCGCTCCCCCTGGGCGCCCGCCCGAGCGCGGTGGCGGAATCGCGCGGCAGCGCCACTGGATCTTCACGACCAGTGTTCGCGGCGCCAGGGCGAGAGACCCGTTTTGAAGACGACCGGTCCTCCAGCCATGTACCTCCTGGTATCAGTTAAGACGACTGCGCGCGGGGCCAAAAAGAGATCCCCATGTCGAAAGGGATTCGCCCTCCAACCGTGCAACTGTTGGAAATCCCGGGCCTCTGCCTCGTCAAGTGTGAAGAAATCGTAGGCGAAACGGCCAGCCCGCGCGATCTACACGTGTGGTGGTGCGAAAGGGAGGAGCTGCTTTATGAGGAGGAGGGATGGAGCGGGGGGAGGGAGAGGGAGGAGGAGGGGACGGAGGGGGGAATGGAGGAGGAGGAGGATGAGGAAGAACAGGAGGAGGAGGAGGAGGAGGAGTGAGGAGAGGAGGAGGAGGAGGAGGAGGAGAGGAGGAGGAGTGAGGAGGGAGAAGAGGAAGGAGGGGAGGAGGAGGAGTTGCGGAGGAGGAGGAGGATGATGAAATGAGAGGTGTGGAGGAGGAGGAGGAGGAGGACGACGACGAACGACGAGGACGACGAGGAGACGACGAGAGGAGGAGGACTGCGGAGGCGGGCGTGGTCGTCCGCATGCGCCTGCAACCGCCTGCGGCCGCTCCCGGCGGCCGTCCAGGCGGCGCCGCGGCTGCGGTCCAGGCGGGCGGGCGGCCGAGGACCCCATCCTCGGGGGGGGGTCCTCCTCCTCCTCCTCCTCCCTCCTCCTCCTCCTCCTCATCCTCCTCTCATCATCATCATCATCATCATCATCATCATCATCATCATCAGCATCATCATCATCATCATCATCATCATCATCATCATCATCATCATCATCATCATCATCATCATCATCATCATCATCATCATCATCATCATCCCGTTCCTCGTCCTCGTCCTCCTCCTCACCTTCTTCTTATTCGTATTATTACTTTTGATTTTAGTGAAGCTATTATTATGAATGGTATTAGTCGTAGCGCCCATATTCTTAGAATGAGTAGTACTAGTTGTCGGGATAGTATCATGATTAATCGTGTTGTTCTGATTCGCCTTACTATATTCTTCTTGGTAGCGTGATCATTATGGTTTGTGACATTAGTATTAGTAGTATTAGCACTACTAGGCGTAAGGTGAATACTACTATGATTAGTTTGAGTCGTCTTCGTCTTCGTCATGTTACCATTCTTAGTCGTAGAAGTAGTCACCGTATTCTTAGTGTTGGTAATAACTACGCATATGCTTATTCCTCCTCCTCCTGTTCTTCCTCCTCCTCCTGCTCCTGCTCCTCCTCGTTCTCCTCCCTCCTCCTCCTCCTCCTCCTCCTCCTCCTCCTCCTCCTCCTCCTCCTCCTCCTCCTCCTCCGCCTCTTCCTCCTCCTCGTCCTCCTCCTCCTCTTCCTCCCTCCTCCTCCTCCTCCTCCTGCTCCTCCTCCTCCTCCTCCTCGTCCTCCTCCTCCTCCTCCTCTCCTCCTCCTCTCCTCCTCCTCCTCCGCCTCCGCCCTCCTCCCTCCTCCTGATCCTCCTCCTCCTCCTCCTCCTCCTCCTCCTTCCTCCTCCTCCTCCTCCTCCTCCTCCTCCTCCTCCTCCTCCTCCTGCTCCTCCTCCTCCTCCTGGGAGGGGCCGAGGGACGCCCGGCTCTCTCGTCTGCGGGGTTGCGCCCTCGGCCCCCCCGGAGGACCCACGGGGGAAGGCTTCGGAGCGTGTGGGGGGCAGCGCTCGGATCGTTTCGGCGCTCTTCTGGGCTCAGAAGGCCTCCAGGGTCCTCCAGGGACCTCCTCGCTCCCCTCCTCCATCCCCTCATCGTTCTCCCCCTCATCGCCCTACTGCCGCGTTTTCCTTCGATCCTCGAGGATCGAGGGAAGGGGTCTGGACGTTTCTGGTAGGTGTGTATCAGAATATCTGTTTTTTTTCGAGCCTCGGGTGGCCTCTGGAAGCATCTAGAGGCATTCGGAGACCCTGTGGGGTCAGGATCCGGGGCGGAAGCGGCCTCCTACACATAGCGTTCCCCTTCCTTCCCTTGCTCCTTTTCCAATCCTAACCCTCGAGTTCGTGGAGGAGGAGGAGGAGGAGGAGGAGGTGGGGAGCGCAAAAAGCGTTTGGACGACGGCGTCGCTGCTGCTATTACCCTGCAGGACCTCGAAAACTTCCAGGGCACCCCAAGCCTCCAGGAAACCCTGCTGACCACCAGAGACTCACTGGAACTCTCCGGGAAACGAAAGGGCCTGCACATCAGTATTTCCTCCTCCGCCTCCTCCTCCTCCTCCTCCTCCTCCTCCTCCTCCTCCTCCATCCATTTCCCTCATGAAGAACTCGTCCCTGTCGCGCCCCAAGGCGTGTCGGGAGGGCCGGGCCGGGCGTTTCGCCTGAAGCTCCTTCACTGACTGTGATCCCTCGCGGTTGACAAATCGCAGAGACTTTCACGGACGGAGGGCGGGCCATCTTCAAAACGTGGCTCTCGCCCTATCGCCGCACACATTCCTCTCAGGTGATGTGATCAGCTTCACGGCTGGGGGGCGGTTCCTTTTTCGAAACGTGGCTCTCGCCTTAGCGCCGCGCCCGCTCGTATTAGACTCCGCCAGAGCTGCATGGATGGAGGGCGAGGCCGTGCTCAAGATGTGGCTCCAGCCCCCATCGCCGCGCACATTCCTCTCAACATGTTGCAAATGTGGCTCCAGCCCCCATCGCCGCGCACATTCCTTCCAACATGTTGCAGGAGCTTCACGGGTCGAGGGCGGGCCATTCTCTAAAGGCGGCCCTCGCCTCAAAGCGCGGCGCACACTCTTACCAGCCTGGAACATATCCCTATCCCTATGTTGGGCATCGCCTCATCACGATGGCGATCTGAGGGATTTCCTCAGTTTCAGAGGGTGTATCCCTAAGATTGTCATCTCCTTTCAGCGTGTCAATCTTAGGGATGGGGATAAGTTCGAGGCTGGTGACATTCGCCCTAACAATGTTCAGGAGCATTCGCGGATGGAGGGCGGTGCCCCCTCACAAGAGTCTGCGCCCGCCGGAGCGCCGCGCACACCCGTCTGCAGTTATACGAAAGCTTCACGGGTGGAGGACGGCGCTCCATTTCATAATGTGGCTCTCGTCGCAGCGCCCCGCACATGCGTTCCAATGCAAAGATTACTATTACAGGGGGAAAGGAACATACAAACAAATACACACAAATAAAAAGATTCCCCATATTTTCCCATATTCTCTGGGTTTGTATCTTCCCGCCCACTTCCCATATTTTCCCATATTTTCTGGGGAATCGCCGATTAATTGTGTCTGTGTGTTTCTTTTCCTCCTGTACCATGGTGAGCGTCCCAGAGAGGGTGTTTTTTTGGCACGATGTAGGACTGTCAGGGCGCAGCAGTTACGTCGATTCGCGGAGCTGACGTCCCCAGAACCATGCGTGGCAGGACTCGTCAAGACGCAACAGTCACGGTGATTCGCGGCGTTGAAGTCCCAGGACTGGTTTTCTGGCAAAGTTAAGGATTCCCACACGGTTGTCTCCCAACGGGGCATTTCCTTCAGTGAAACTGAACCCTTGTAGAGACCTGCGAAGAGGGAACTCAGAGGGAGAGTTTCTTGCAATTAATGGAAGACACTTGGATTTACACAAATCCTCCTCATCATCCTCCTCGTCCTCTTCCTCACACTACTACTCCTCCTCCTCCTCCTCCTCCTCCTACTTCTTCTCCTCCTCTTCCTACTGGGGTCAGGAGGCTGGTAATTGCAATGGAGTCGAATCCCAGAACCAGGACATCCCGCCTCACCCTCCGTGCCTCCTGCTGTGCATGATTGGACTTGGAGCCTGGGAGGGTGAGCTTGCAGGCTGTGCAAGACGAGGGCCATTTCGGAGGCACGGAAGGATGCCAGGCTCAACGAGAAGTGCAGCGGCAGCTCCCCTCTCAAGACCATCGCTGCAGAGAACCACGGTCACACAGTAGTTGCGCTGGATTTGAAACAGGTAAGCGCTACCTCACTGCTTGCAAAACGTGAGGAGCATATGCAGTGTCCAACCCGCGTCATTTGCGCAGTGAGCGGTGCACACGTGGGCACGGGGATCTGATTTGTCAAGGCAAGGGCCCAAAAGAAGCCTGGGGCAAAACTGTGCCCCATACATCCCCCTGAACCGGCTCCCGGCACGTTCAGCACAGAAGCAGGAGGAGGAGGAGGAGGCGGAGGAGGAGAAGGAGGAGGAGGAGGAGGAGGGTAAGTAGGGCCAGAGAGGGGAGCGCGCGCGGGTGGGAGAGACCCCCTCGCGCGTGGCCGCTTCTGCCAGCCCAGTCTTCCAGGCGCCCCGCGCGCGCCAGCGCGCGGACAGCAGCCTCATCGGCAGACCCAGGCCTGAAGGCTTGGGGCTGGGTCGGGTCGGGTCGACCAACCCTTAGCCTTGCTTCTTTCAGGGCGCCTGCGGGTCTTCCTCCTCCTGCTCCTCCTCCTCCTCCTCCTCTTCCTTCTCCTCCCCCTCCTCCTCCTCCTCCTCCTCCTCCTCTTCCTCCTCCTCCTCAACCTTATCCTCATCCTCATCCGAATCATCATCCCTACCACCATTCCCTCCTGCCCGGGTCAATGGCCCAGCACTGGAGGTGGTTAGCGCCGCTGGGCGCGGCGGAATGAGAGTCATGGCAGACCCGGTGCGCGAACGTTGGGGCTGGGGGAGGCGCTGGCCGATAAGATCTGCCGCGCGGGTGTGCCGCGGCCGCGTGAATGGGCAAGGCAATCTGGAAACCCTTGATTATATTGCCATCACTCCTTTTCCTCCTCCTCCTCCTCCGCCTCCTCCCCCATTCCTCTTCCTTATGAGCCAATTCTCCCTGTCGCACCCCGAAGCCAGTATTTAGGGCGGGCGGGGCGTTTCGCCTGAGACTCACCCACCACTTATGGCTCTGAAGCTTAAGAATTGGTAACAGCTTCACAGATGGAGGGCGGTTGGTTTTCAACATGTAGCTCTCGCCTTTGCGCGGCGCATATACGTTTTAACATGTGTCAGAGTTTCACGGATTGGTGGCGGTTTCTTTTCAAAATGTGGATCTGGCCTGAGCGCCGCGCACACTCGTTTTAAAAATGTGTAAGGGTTTCACGGGTTCCTAACATCAACGTACCAGACATGTTGTCATGAGAGGATTCAGGATCACGCGGGAGCAACAGTTACGTTGATTCGCTGTGCTGAAGTCCCAGGAATGGCGATCTGGTACGATTCTGGACCGTCAACACGCAACAGTCAGGTTGATCCGTGGCGTTAGAATCCCGCGAACAATGTTCTAGCATGCTGCAGGGTCTTCAAGCGCTCGTCTTCCAACGAGGCAGCTCCCTCAATGGAAATGAACCGTTGTGTGGGGGCCTATGAAGAGGGAGCTTGGAGGGAGGGTGTATTCCAACATCGTTGATGCCTCTTGGGTTCACACTGGTCCTCCTCCTCCTCCTCGTCCGCCTACTTCTCCCTCAAAAAAAATCTCCTCCCGGATTCGTCCAGGGACGCGTTCCGACAAGAGGCTCGAGGCAGGCCCAGCCGGGGCGACAGAGGAGTCTCCCCGAGGCAAGACAGGACAACAAAATCGGCGTGCGCCCCAAAAGACACCACGGACTGCCCACCAAGCCAACCCAACCCAGCCTGAGGTCGCCGTTGGGCCTGCTCATTTCCAATTGGGGGGGCGTTCTGGAACATTGAGAAAACATGGTGGAACCCGCA